AGGATTTCGTGTATTTGATATTTCCATCCTCATTATTACTGTTTATTAAGATTTAATAAACGGTGTGTGCCCGGCATAGAATGGGACACCATTCCTTTAATATGCGACTAAGGGAGGGTGAGGGATGGGCAGCAGCGTTCCTCTTAAAACATCACTAAAAGCCTACTTGCGGTTGCCAATCCGCCTGCCAAGCGTGGCAACTACTGGCAAAACTCCCCTTATGGGGAAGGCTTATATCCAGCAGTGAACAGTTAAGAAATAATAAAAAAAAATAAGATTTAAATCGATATTTGTCTTATTGTTCTACGATTTAATTAAGACCTAAACTAATTAATGTAAGTAAGCATTGCTTAATATAGGGGAAAAGGTATGAAGAATAAAAAGTTAAAAATTAAATAAAAGTTAAATAAAAGATATCCATTTCGATCAGTAATATGTAGACGAAATATTTTTATTTCACAATGAAAAAGATGTCTGCTATAGAATTATCCAGACGATAATGTCCATATTGCTCGTATCAGCTGTTCCTTCATTAATATAAGTACTTAATTCAAATATAAAATCATAGATCACTGCATTACAGCAAAGATTAATGTATCTAGTCTTCATGTTGAATTTTACAGAAGTGAAGCGTATAAGTGAATATATATTTTCATATGTGAAACGGTTTCTTTGTACATACTGACCAAAACGTTAACAGCCGCGAAATTTTGAAACAAAATACTGTCGTATTCAATTGTAGTTGTACGTTCGTTCATAACTTTACAAATTATTTAAGATTCTACAGCAGTGTGACAGCAGATAGAATTGTATTACCTAAGAAACTGTCCAGTACTATTCGGAGTCTCAAATTATTATGTTCATCAGATACATCCGTTTCGTTTGGAGAAGTTAATAAAACTCCATAAGCGAATGGATGTAAGGGATGTTTTATGTGAATCGGGGCGTGTGCTCAAGGTTAATGCCGTGGGCGAATACGTTACGGTCGATAATGTCTCATCATCGAGGTCGAAAGCTAGTCGTTCCACGTAGGATTCTCAATTTATTCTAGCATTCGGTTTAAACCATGAGCTGTAGGACTACGCACCTACCAGATGTAGTGTCTTTGACCTCTGCTTCAATTTTGATGCAGCGTCATAATGACTATTCGAGATTCGTTCGATTCATTATTTAAACTTTCAAATAAAAAATAAAATAAATACGGCTGTACATTGTACCTATGTAACAATTGTGATTATGGAATTAACACGAAATCTAAAGCCATCACAAATTTAAGTTCTACATTGTAGCACTAAGTTTTAATTTTGTGTAATTAAAAATTAAAACACAAAATTGTCTTTGTGTTAATTTCTATTAAAAATCTACTATATTTTGTCTATAACGTTGTTATTTTCTATTTCTAGCGGAGTAAAAAAGAACGTACATTAATATTCATGAAGTCATATTTGTGCAGCCTGCAGTAGTTCCACAAAATAATCTAATATCTACATATGTAATAATATTCGGTACGTCTTTTTTTATATAAGTTAGAATAGCAAACAAGCTGATGGCCCACCTGAAAGTGATAACAGTACTATGTAATTTAGATATTTAATGTAAATATGTTTAACAGTGGCGTTCTAAAAATATCGTGTTTTGTATGTGATTGCTGGTACTTCTTTATTCAATTACCGTAAGTAATATTTTATAAGGTAAAATAATTTGCTGTGCGGTTCCAGCATAAAATGGGCCATCCCTTCCCTTGGGCCAGGCTTTAGTCGCCTTTTACGAGATTACGGAAAGAAGTAGTCCTCTTAAAACATCATTAAAAATATAACTGAGGTTGCCAACCCGCTTGCCAAGCGTAGTAACTACTGGAATTCCCCTCTCCCCGCAATAGGAGGTCTATGTTCAGCAGTGCACAATTAACGGCTAGTATGATGTGGGGGGCCGGGGGGGGGGGAGGGATTGTTAGGGATGAGATCTAACAGGCCCATTACTAGTAATATACTGTCATAGATCGACCTTCATGCGCATCTCCTTGGAAACCATTGTGTGGTAATTTTTGATGAATTCATCACGATGGGCTAACTGACCTGCTTCATCCTCATCTATCATCGCTTATTGGTGCCCCGCCAGTGTATACCGATAGCACAGGCGAGGTTATCATTTCATCTTCACCCTTTAAAAAAAATTATGATGAAGGCAAAATAAATACGTCAAAATTTTCTGTGTACGCGTCTAATATAGTCAGATTTAGGTTTTAAGAAGTTCGCAGGCAAAAACCTTATCCTTAAGGGCATGACATGAAGGTAATATGTTACTCTCGTTATGTGACGTCTCTAGTATTATTTATGACAAGTAACTGTTTTAGGCTATCAGTTTTATTGTCATCGGAGACTATAAAAAAAAAATTTAATTAATTAATTCTTTATTAATTGTATGTTATCATTTTTAACTGACACAATATATGTCTTTAGCTTAGATTATATAGATAGAGCATCGAATTTCATAAACGCGTCAACTTTTTGTCAGCTAATTGTTAAATCAGCTGACTCGTTTTTTTATTAGTATTCTATATACTTAAGGATACAATGTATCTTGATGAATCAGTATTTATTTATTTAATAAATAAAATTAGTTTTTACTCATTACAAAGATGAAAAAATTAAAAGACAAATATAGAAGTTATAATGGCAACACTCACAACTATTTATCACACAAAATTATATGATAAAGTTGACCCGCTTTTATCGAAGCATTTGTATAGAGACACTCTATCTATATAATCGAAGGTATGTAGGTACAAGCTATAAAATATTCAGTCATATCTTATTGTTATTAAATAGTAGGTAAATAACTGTTTGCGGTTTTATCAAACTTTTAAGTGATCACAGAGAGGAGGGTCACAGTTCGCCTATATTTTCAAACAACATCAAAAAGAAGGAGATTTTCAATTCGGTTGTACGTTATATATTTTTTTATGTTCGTTACTTCATAACTCTGCCAGTTATAAAGCGACTTGAAAAATTATTTTTTATCTGAAAGGAAATACTTTATTGATGAATGATTGACCACATAAAACATTTATCAAAATCGGTTCAGTAGTTTGATTTTCAAACCAAAATAACTGGTTTTGCTTCGATTAAAGTCGGTTTTCTTGTGGAACACAATTTTACATTTTTGTGAGTGTATGTGACGCGAAACCTTTACTAATTCTAAACCTACTTTGATAATTTCGCATACAATAGGGGTTACTTTTATTTTAGTTTTATTACAAAAATTACATCGTAAATAAATAAATCTCATATTAATTAATAATATATTAGACGATGGAGTTTTTGTTACGTTAAGAGCAAATTCGAATACCTATTAGTTTTTATTAAATTAACATACTAGTAATTAGTAGTGATATGTGTCACTAAAATGATAGATTTCTGCTGATAGAGTAAAATAATATTTTGATTATGGCTGCTATTATATACAAAAATGTATTATGTTCATCTATATTGTACGGAGGTAAATCCTTCTAAATGTGAGATACAATAAAGTAGTGAAAACACGTGCATAATCATTAGAATTAAATTATGTATCGTAAAAAGAATATACAGAAAAATATATTCATGGAGTATAAAAGATATTAGGTATGCATTTACTTAAGTAGACTAAGAAAATACATTATTGTTTAATAGCATAATTGTGAGAATTGGGCTAAGGTCGTCAGTGAATTAAAGAGAATAATCATAGCATTAATTTAATGCTGTGAACCCTAAAATATCATAATGAGCACTAAGTAACTGTAGGGTAAGGTTCATAGCAACAATCTAGTTTATTTTATAAACATTTACGTAAACAATTTGTTATTGAATAGATTTAATGCAAATAACATTTGAACACAACGTGATTCAAGTTGCTTAGTATAAACTGGGTGGAAAAAATAATTGATAGACATATTGAAAAACATTATATTGAAATGTTACATCAACAAAAAGATTGTTAGTATAACCAGTGTCGATAAATAAATCTTTAAAAAGCGAAATAGTTTTTTAACATTTATACACCTGCGTCGCGATTCAAATCAACTAACTGGTATTTTTATATTACTGTTATTAGTGCCTGTACGGTACCAGTATCCAAGTCGTCCAAAGTATAAAAAGAGGTTGGTCATTGGACGGCTATCACAGAAAATCGAATACAGGTTCTATCCATCGTAAGACAAATGAGTCATGCACCAACTGGTATTGATCGCGGACACCTAATCGAATATTACTTTATCAGACTAATATGTTCTTTACAGTTTTCCGACATAGTAACATCGACTACAAGAAACTACTTGTAAATTGAGAATAATTATAACCATTGAAATAGATTAACAGAAACAAGAAGAATATGTAGAAATAAATGTATACTATTTTATAATATTTGGAACGTAGCAAAATTTTAGTACTTGTCAATTGTAAATTCTAGAATATATAGGGCTAGAATATCCAGCTGTAAATATTCTAGATTTTTGTTGAACACTAATTGGTGTATTGGAATTTGGCATAGAGTAGTAATAGAGTAAATATACAAGGTGTAGCGGCAAGGGTTATAAGTTGAAATCTAAAATAAGTATTCGTGAAATTCAATACGTTTTCTCAAGGAACATAAATAGAAATATATTTTTTTAATCTTCATACAAACAACGAATTATTTTATATGAAGATAGAGAAATTATCATTATTATGTTAACTAAAGGCGATTATTCAGTTTTATAAGTGTATCACTTGACATTTTAGCTTGTTACACTATCCGTTACAAAGTTTAATTGAATAAGGTTGGCTGGTCTTACATCAAATATGTTTATTGCAACAAATACTATAGATCTGTTTGTGAATACCTACTATCTACTATAGATGCAGGTTAAGAAAAAGCGAGAATCAAAGTGTCGGATGAACCGGGATGACTCATCCAATGATGACGCATTTTTATTCTTACAGTCTATAGACATTTCTAAGTAGAATTATAAAGGATATTTTTACCTTCACTGCTAAGGTTATAACGGGATTGATGTCGTTGGCATTACAAAATCTGAAACGAGAGATAATATTCTTAATATACAGTATAAGTATTTATAGCGCTGTGTAGGTCTAGGCATAGAATAAGCCACCCCTTCCTTTCCTGTGGGTGTCGTAAGAGATGATTAATATACAACTAAGGAAGCTTATAGTAGAGGAATTGGCAGCAGCGCTCGTCTTAAAACGTCACCAAAAGCCAAACTGCTGTTGCCAACCCGCCCGCCAAGCGTAGCAACTACTGTCAAAACCCCTTTTATGGGAGAGACTATGTTCAGCAATGGAGTTAACGGTTAACGGCTTATACAACACATATTCACATAGCATAGCAAGTATTCATATAGCTAGAATTTATAACACTAAATTTAAATAGAAAAAACTCATAATCGTGTTTTCAATTAATTCAATGATCACAGGAGGTTATAGGTACGTCTGCTGGAGTGTAAAATGGACAATAAAGTAATAAATATAACATCAAGGTATAGTTTGTAGCCAAATATGGGACACGTAATAGTAATCAATAAATCGACGCCCAGATTGGACTTACGTGATAGGTATTTAAACGGTCTTTGCGGCTCTAAGAAACTAAGTCAAACACGGGATCAATAAAAATGTAACTGCTTGGAAAGTGAATTATTAAACCAGTAACAAAAATATCTTTGGTTTCACACGGCACTATATTGGATAAAGAAAAAAGAAATTCGTTTTACTTTGATTGTTTCTTATCGTAGCTAGAATTGTTTGTAACTTACCTTAGCATTCCGTGGCTTCGGTCGCATGAATCATATAAATATATAAAGTGCCCTATGTACTAAGTTACCAACGTTACCAACCTGTGTAGCAAATTTAATTCAAATCCGTTCAGTAATATTTGCGTAAATGAGTAACAAACATCCATCCATAGGGGGGAAAGGGATTGTTAGTAATGAAGACTTAGAATCCCATTGCTATCAATATACTCTCCTCGCGGTTCCCCTTGGAAACTATCATGGTTAATTCCTGATGAATTCATCATGATGGACTAACTGGCCTGTTTTCATTCTCATCTATCACCCTACACTGGTGCTCCGCCAGCGTATGCCGTTAGAGCAGGCGAGTTACCATGCCATTTTCACCCATCAAAAAAAAATCCACCCATATTTACATTTAGTTTCGCACTTTTAATATTAATTACTTATCCTAATGTTCATATATCCAAAAAATTGTAGTCGTTTAGCTGGTAGGTGATATCTCAGACATACAAACATTTGAAAATTTTAAATAATTAAAATTTCAAAGAAAATGCTGACTTGGCTTTTTCCTTAAAAACCTTAACCGGACTATTAAAAACATAAAAAAAATTGGAAAAATCCATGCAGCTGTTCTCATGTGACGCACTTACCAACAAACAACATTGATTTTTTATTTATGTAGCTTATATCGTATTAGTAGACAGATGTTGAGCTGAACGATAAAATTATTCCACGTACTGATATTTTTTAATATAAGTATTAACGATAAGATAACGTAGATAAAAGTAATATTTAACGTCGGTGCGGGTGTGAGTGTAGTAAAATACCCGGAGAGCGCCTCAGCGTTTATCACAGTGTAAACAAACAATAAGAAACAATTGTATTGTAAATATTTACTGTGACGAAAATACATGTGCCATTTGGTTAACATTAACCCAATGTTAGGATATTGCCAATCATGAAACAAGTCACCGTAGGTGTTTGGTTTAAATACAGGTTGTAGATACATATGTAATATATATATATATATATATATGAATATATGTTACATATGAGATAGATTTGGGGTGAAATTGTTTTTTATAAACAATTTCAAAGGTACCTTTTCCACTGCAATCCGATCTATTATAATATTTTGCAGGGCAAGCTCTAGGCAACCTATTTTAATGGATCGCGACGAAATTGCTATCACTATTTTTATATTTTAAAAAGTATGTAAAACCTATCGACGGGCAATGAAATATTTAAATTCAGAATGGAAAATCGTGTAATTTACACACACATATAAAATATAAGAGATATAAGAACCTTCTGTTTTTGGAAGTCGTTTAAAAATACGGTTGCACATTGGTTCTATATTTTCATACTCGTAATATATTGTAGATTGATTAATTATCATATCATACAAGTGTGTGTATAGATTAAGGAATCTATTTCGGCCTCTATTCAAATTTATGTCTGTGGCATAGACTCGGACAGATTTGCGTTTGACCGACATTTCAAACCGTTACTCATAATGCAAACGAAAGTTTCCGGATTCACGGCTTGGGGTAATTTACTGTTTTCTATATCGGCTTTGTCCTCGTTACTGTGACAGTTTTTATGCTACTCATAGCCCACATACCTATAACAATTCGTTTTGAGAAACGTGTACGAGACGTGCTTTCACTATCGAGTACAAATATGGTGCCCAGATTTATTGCTTACTCGCATATGGTTCGGTCAAGGTCTTATATATGACTGTTTTGCTAAAAATCAACTAACATACTTTTGTAAAAATCATCGCATGTTAGAAACTCACTTTTTACAAAATAGAAATTTTTAATGTCTCATGACGTCATAATATCGGTGAATGTATGAAGGATTAATTTATATAATTTAATTTAATGAAAAATTGGTAGGTATAGAAAGATATTACAAATTATTTTATCGATTATCTTTATGCACTAAAATAAACATATGCGATAACTTAATAGTACAATAAAGAAGCACATATCGTCATAGTCGTAGAATACTGACGGATCTATATATTTAATTATTGTCAGATCCGTCAGTATTCTACGACTACGACGATATGTATTTTATTAAAATAAGTTCATATACAATTCTGGTTAGGAGGATTAATTATGTGCATACAAAACTAAAAACAAGTCAAACAATATTCTCCACAATAAAACGTGATAATATATTTCTTAAGACTAATAAACCATTCTATCCATTAATTGGAAAAAGAATAATTTAAACGCGGAACATACTCGTACAGAAAAAAATAAATACAAAGCAATTGAGAATATATATTTTAGTAGTCACAAATCAAATAAAAACTGCTTTTTTGCTATATTATGAGTTCATAGACGGTAAGTGTAGTAAGTACGACTTATAAAATGCGGAACAGAGATAAATACGAGTAAGCGACAAAATCTGCTTCTAGAAGTCGCAAATAAAAAACAATAGCTTGCTATATTATGGGTTCATAAAGTGTGATAAGTACAGATTATAAAATGTAAATAGTAAAGATAATTTGCTACAGTAGATAATACTTATACTATGTACAGGTAGGAAGCAAATATTGGACAAAGCGTTAAAGAGTGTAAATGTGGTGACGGAATTCAAATTTATTTGCACATGGTCTCTTTTGTTTGTTTAATGATGTTATTGACAGTGTAATAGGTACGCAAACTTAACGTCACGTGTATAAACTGAGCGTAGGAACAGGAGACAAACGGTGACTGACGACGGAGGTGAGCGACCGGACCCGGGTCATCGTCGCACGCGCACTCTCTAACTGCGCGCTCTATTATAATCAATCCATCTTCAATTGCGCAATACTTGTTAATATTACTAATTGTAATTAAAACTTGGAGATTTAAATAAAAGTATCTCTAGAGGATTGGGCAGACGATGGATATTGTCTACCTAGACATTTAATTTGTGTAAGCCGACTAGTAAACATGTGCACTATAGTCTGTAGGACATACAATTTATGAATTTATTATCACCGGACTAAAATGTATGTTGAGGATTGTCACTAATTAGACTTGAAAACCTGGACAGATGAGGGCAACATAAAGGAAAATTATGCCTGCGTACAAAATGTCCTTCGTTAGCGCAGGCCATTAATAGGTATTTTTCCACTTTAATATGATGCTGAAACAATGTAAACTGACGAAACGTAGTCTGATAAAGTATAAATTGCGTAATAAACCAATCAGCTTTTTGATAATATAAAACAATTTGTAAAAATGATTGTAATTTGTATTTTTATATTTCAGATTTATCTTAAACTGGTAAGGTTACCTTAGACTTTATTAATTAGTTTGTTTATTCTTTAAACCTAGTAAGTAATAAATATTTCAGTATACTCTTTTCTGATTTCATGTTCTTTTTGATTGTCTCAATTGTTAATACGATCATATTTAATTAAATAATGAACGCTAATGTTGAAGAGTGTAATTTTGGATACGGTGGTTAGATTTTTTAACCAATAATCAACTAATGGAAAATATACTGCCGATAACTAAAGACATGAATACCATTAACATCACAAAATACAGGTATTGTAATTTGTGAAGCACAATGGGAACGTTGTCGCTTCTGAAGATTGTATTGTTTCTTATCTTACACTACCTTTCCATTTAAATAGAAATATGTACATATTATTATATATAACAACCAAATAATTGTTTTACGACTTTAAAAGGTAAGACGGAGGAATATACTGAGGTGATACTCAGAACTCTATCATCAATCACCATGCTTGTTATAGAATGAAACATGTAATAGTCATTGAACATTTCATTCTGTAGCAAGCATACGAGTAGTAGAGAATCATAGGAAATTCGAACATTATTGTATGTACTCTGTACTGCTAGTTTAAGTAATGACCTAATACACACACACATACACATACTATAACACAGTAAACATAGGGGCCGCAAAACATTTTTTGCACACTTAATAGTCATAGACTTCAAAATTCGACTGTTGTATTAATTTATATTGCTTTTCTCCCACGCAGTTCCATAACACAGTTGTTACTCTTATCGAAGTTAAAATGATGCAACGATGGCGATGTGAGCAAAAGAACTGCCAGTCACATAATCGTAATGAAATAAACTTATTTGATGTTGCAATTATGTAACGTACTAATAACCTCGTTAATAAAGTAGCATAAACTAGCGTGACATCATTCGTTGTTATAGTCAAATTTTGAATCAATTCAAATGGAATAAAGCGCATCAAAGAAACGAATGGAGCTTTAATCTCTTAATTAGAAACCTCAGGA